AGCCGAGAAGCGCCTCGCGTACGAGGTACACCCTGCGTACGAGGAGGGAGCGTTGCGCGTACGCCATGCCTTCTGTGGTCCGAGGAGCAGCCACGATGCACCATCAGCGAAGCGACACGTCTCAAGAGGAACGCGCCGCGTCCGAGGCTACGCCCCGCGTAGTCCGAGGACCTCCGACCTATAAATAGGAGGCGAAATTTCTCGGATTTTCACACCAAAATTCACTCTCTCTCTACAATCTTTCTCTCTCTAGCCTATTTTGAGCCCCTAAACCCTAGGAAAAATCCCTAGCACCCAAAGGAAGCCCCGAGGCTCCCGGAGTCCTGAGAAAAAAGGGTCTTTCGGTTCGGAAACGCTGCTCCGAGCAAAGCCCGGTTTTTAATAAAACCCGCTGTAAGTGAGCTACGCCTATGCAATTTTTAATATAACTTTTAATTAATTATAGTAATGTTATTAGGTCCTTAAAATAATTATTTGGGCTATTATTATGAATTATATTGAGTGTTATTTAACGCTTATATAATAATAATAATAGCTAGGCTATTAATTAGTCGCGGTTAACATTAGACTAAACCCTAGTGGTATTGATACTAGGTTTTGTCGAGGGAAATTGTTTTAAGAAGTCACGAAGCGTTGTTCGAGTGCAGAGTCACCACCTTCCAGGTGAGTGCATAGTCCCTTTCATCTTACACATAGATATGAAGTATTTTATATAAATTACGTGCTACGTGTGCATATTATCTGTATACTTGCTATCTGTGCTGGATGAACGATTATATACACGTTTTAAATGATTTAAACTGTATATGTATTTTATATCTACAAAATGTGTTGGGTAAAACATGGGTAGATGTAATAGTTGCTGTGTGACAAAAACAAAATGATGAGGGGTGATATAGACCATGAGATAAGGGTGAGAGGTAAACCATGAGAGAAGCCTTTTACCCATGTGTTGGCCCCGTCATTCAGCAGAGTATGGATGACAACCACAGACTATTCTAGACAGTCGAGTGGACACTAGCAGGCTCGCAACCTGTAGGTGTTTTGAAATGTGTATTCACTAGATGTACTCTAAAAACCCATTGACATGTATTGCGAGTGGATTCTCGGAAACGATACTGTCGATAAACAAACCCTGGCGACTATGCGACGTAGTGCTTGTTGTATAAACCCTGGCGACTATGCGACGTAGTGCCTGTTGTATAAACCCTGGCGACTATGAAACTTAGTGCCTAAAACCTGGCGACTATGCGACGTAGTGCCAAATGAGTAGACTCTGGCAACGATGGATTTCGTGCCGATTCCTTAGGATAATCCTTAGGAATAAATGAACGAGGAATAGTTGATTCTTAGGGTAGAATAAAGAAGATAATGGGGAAGGGTAATTAAGTTGATTTTTTGTTGTTTAAACATAATAAGTATATTATTGTGGGTTGAAAACCCTATGTGCTCACCAGGTTTCCCAACCTGACCCACTCAGTTTATTTGTATCACAGGTGTCGATATGAAGTTACTTTACACTGAGAGATTTAAAAGAGATGTAGATCACTAGTGTAAATGAATGTAAGTTCTGTTTATGCTTATGTTTCTGTATTGACGATCACATCCCAAATGGTTTAAAATGAATAAAAATACATTTCTTCAGAAATGCTTTGATAACGTATTTATCATGTTTTTCTGGGAACAAATTTCGCAAGATTTTTATTAAAAGAAGTACTCTGATTTTTATAAAGCATAAACAAATCGGTCTTTTCTGGCCGTGAAAATGGGGATGTCACAATAATGGTGGAGTTGTGGTGTTGTGAGGTGGTTCATATCCAATGGTTATGTTGTTGGCAGAGTGCAACTAAATTCAAGTGGGGGAGAATGGCTTGGGGTTAATGGGAATATATCTAAGTGTGAATCAATGTGTAACTTCATATTATAGGGCATGTGTGGAGCCAATTCTGGTAGTGGTAGGAGTCGGGGATTATGCTAGGAATAATGTTCATTGTTCGGCCGTAATCAGGGAGGTGAATTCTAAGGATTATGATTATCTTGTCCGAGGACGTGAAGCATCAGTAGTGGCACATTATAAGTTTGTGGCTAGGCTCGGGTTGAGGGTTGTGTTAGGACCTCTCTTCCTGTTCTTGTCGGATGAAGGCTTTAGGGTTTGAAAGATGACCAGAACACATGTTTGCGGTTTATCATGTTAGGGTTTCGACCCATGTTGATTTTGGCTCAGTGTGTAGATAATTGGCAAGAACATGGGCCAGTCCCATGACTATCGTGGGTGTCTAGAAAGACTACAGGTTGGCCGGTAGTATCCGCTAGGATGAGATTAACTATCATGGGGAACACAGACTTCGTTTGGGTTCAGTTGGGATCATTATTGTTATTTAGCCGCCCCGTAATCGGGCAGGAGGTCTGTTAGAACCATATCAATGGTTAGATTACTAATGCTCCTGATTGAGGGCGAAGCCCGTTTGGCTATGCTAGCTTTGGTGAGACCTGTGGACAAGGCTCAATTAGTTATGCTATCTTGGGTGCGAGGACCATTCAGACATTTGAGGTTATGCTCAGGGCATGTGGTATTGGTGGTAAGTCCCCAGGACAGTGATGGAACGATGCCAAGATCTAGGTGTTTTGTGATCTTAACGTTCAAGTGGATTAAATGGTGTCATGGTGTATCGTGAATCAGCAAGTATATGACTCATGAGGGTGGGACCCCATTGTGTCTAGCATGGTTAGAGAATCAGAGAAAGTTTGGAGTAGGAAATCTCAATAATCAGTGGGTTGGATCTATGTGGCAAAGAGGCTAGGGTAGCCTTTATCAGTTAGACTCTTGGGCGGAGTTTTGTTGTGGGACCGTGCGTGAATTTGTCAGTCCCATTTTATTAGAAGGTTAGCGTGGATTAAGGAGATATCGGATAGATCGAATATGTGAATTTTTTTGGTTATCGGGATGTGAGTTATGTATTAGTTTGGCACCAATGGTTAAGACTCGTGTTGGGTGTCTCCTTTTTTTTGGGGTTCAAGGTTTCGACAACAGCGAATAGTCAAGGATTCTATTTTTCTATTATCAGTAAGATAATTTAGGGTCGTAGAGGTTGTTCGATTCGGGTTGTTGAGTGGAGTCATAATGGTTGTGGTTTGGAATGGTTCCGTCTGTCTGGAAGGCATGCATAGTATAGGGTTTTTAGTTTTCGGGAAGAGTAGTTGGATCTTCTTTATCGGTTGAGGGCAAAGTGTTAAGCTTCGTTCTTCATCATGATATGTGATCTCTACTAAAATTGGGCCTTGATAGCAGTGTTGGAAGGCGGTCGTATGTATGAGATAACTTCTCAGTCCAAATCGGAATTAAGGAGGTTATAGCAGGGACATTTGGTGTGTCAAAGTAAGTTGTAAGGATTGATTTCGAGGATGAAATTTAATTTAAGCGGGGGAGAGTTGTAACACCAATTTTTTAGAATTGTTCGGTTCAGGGCATTAAGGACGGAAAAGCTTGGTTTGGGGGAAAACCGAGTGTCACGACGTGACCATAGGTTGGTCACGACGTTACAAGAGAAAATGAGGAATGCGTATCAGTATTGTGGGCATGACGTGACAGATAGGTGGTCATGACGTGGGGAAGGCTGCAGCTCAAGCCCATGATCTTTTAGGGTTTCATCCATATTTTAACCCCATAAACTCGATTTTACGATTCATTATCAGCCTCCGTCACTTTCAAACGTTAGAAAACCTAACCCTAGCCTCTCTTGGTGATTCTTGGCTCATTTTGGTGATTTTGGTAGCTTGAAGAAGAAGAAGAAGAAAAAGTTTTTGTAGAGTGTTTATCCAGCAAGGAAACCTCATCATCATCTTCTTGGGCATATTCTGGAGCTTTGTAAGTGTCCAAGATTCAAACTTTATGCTTCTAGGTTGCTAGATCTAAGTCCTTGTCTCTTTATCTTCAAGTTTGAGCAAGTTGAAGTGATGAGATTCCATAAAGTTGGCAACTTTATGGATCCTTGAAGCCATTTGAGTATTATATGGTTCAAATCTGAAATTTGGTTGTAAATGGTGAGTCTTGCAAGTGCTTTGGATCATTTTCTTGGCTTTTAACCTAGATTGGGTGGAGGACATGCATAGTGCATGCATGACCATAAAGTTGACATTTTTATGAACCTTGGGAGTCCCTACTAGCTTTCTGAAAAGTGGGAGTTGAAGACTTAATGATCGAAATAAGGCTTTCAAATTAAGTTCCGAATTAGTGAATGCCGCCAAAAGGAGTGGCGATGTTATACGACACAAAAATGAAGAGACTCATAGAATGACAAAGGCAGATGAATGACTCAAATAATTAAGTTGGTGCTTCAGATTGCAGTCACGACGTGACATTGAGGATGTCACGACGTGACCGAGGTGGATATCGCGACGATTTTGTCCTGTTGTGCTCATGACGTGACCAAGGAGAGTTTACGTCATGATGTCTACTGAGTGAGTAAGTGGCTGAGTTGGAGTGAGACGAGTTGGAATCGGGCTGAGTGCGTTCTTACGACGTGACCAAAGGATGTTCACGACGTGAGGGTCAGTTCTTGTTATTATTGGTTGTTGACTTTGACTTTGACTGTTGACTTTTTGGGTATGATTGACTTTTTGTCAAAATGGTTGGATTCAGGACATGGGCTAAGGTTGGACCTTGTGTGTTTTGATAGGTGTGTTGTGGCACCGGCCACATAGCACAGAATTGTGTTTTAGGTAATTTCGTGAGTCAGGCGAGTCTTCTTACTATATCGTGTAGGATGGTAGTTGTCTTTATAACTCTTGCATTGTATGTTGGGTTGGGCCCATTTATTTGCATATTAGGTTGGGCCCATTTGCACGTTGGGTTGGGCCCATGGACGGGTTTTCAAATAGTCTGGCCGAAAATCATGCTGATTTCAATAAGCAAAAAGGGAACAAATGCAAACATAGGTAGGGATTTCGAATAAGTCCACCAACATACATAAAGTTGTATGAATTTTTGTTTTTATGAAACAAGGTCCATTATATCCACAACAAAAAATTATATCCTCATCGCAAATTAGATTATCTTAAAACAACTTTTTCATCATATCAGATAGAACAAGATTTACAAAGATGTTGCTTCCTTTTTCAGTTGGGTGGAGGCTATCCCAAAAGAAGAAATTAGAGTTGTTGTGGCATATTCGGGTCATGCGCTTGTTGCACAAGTAACTCATCTCTAGCTCTCCTGTTCCGCAACAACCTCTATTTGTAACTTCCAAGCCTATATAGGAAAACAAAAAAGTAAGAAGAACGAAAACTTATTGAAATAAGAATATGAAATTTTTATCATCATGTAGCACTATAGAACGTGTTTTTAATGAGATTTGAGAAAAACCAGATATGACACTATAAATTTAGAAGATTTTGTTCGTTAAATTATATGTTTAATTTATGGAATACCATATTGTTCAAATGATATGTTGAAGTTATGGAATACCATATTGTTCAGGGTTTTCTATGATGTTCATTAGAGGTTTGTAGAAATCTGAGAAGGCAATCCTGGTTTGAGGAAGAGTGCTTGCAAGAACTTGGAGCTGTAGTTTTAGCATGCTGTTGAAAACTTGTGCAGCTTTGTTGTACTTCTCCACACATATTCTTTGTGCTCCCCCAGCTAGGGTTCTTTCAATTGGTATACAACCAATTGCAGATGTGCTAAAGACAACTATCCTTCTTGCTCCCAATTTGTGTATTTCCTTCAATTAAATGAAAGAACATATGCAAATAATCTTAACGAAGTATGTAAATTTATATTCATCGCTAGTATTTGTTTTCTCTCTTGAAAAGCATAATCCAATTGTGTTTATGCATTTCAACTTAAGTTGAATTTATATGAAACTTAATACTTCAGACAAAAAAAATAATAAAAAATGATGAAGATTTTGTACCTGTAAAAAAATTGCTGGCTAGCTTCACCAACTTATTACCATAAGCAGGGACATCATATTGTAATCTTCTCATGGGAAATGTAAAATAGTTTACAAGAAAATCATTGGTTCCTGCTGAAACCAAGAATACACTATTGGTAATTGTATTCATTGCAGCTTCTTGCCCAATGTTCCCCTTGAGCTTCTGAATATATTGTTTGAACATTTCCAATTGAGATGATAGCGACATAACATTCTAATTTTAACATGCTCAAAAAGAAAGAAACAAATTAATAACCACAAAATAAATTCACAAAAAAAAAATATTGTATGTTTTTTAGGAATGAATTATTACATTTAGAGAATGATGTAAATGCATACCGATAATTTGGATGTTAAGGGATCATAACCAGCACCACCAGAAGCAAAACTTACACCAGTTATAAGATCTTTATCTGTTATGAAAGGGTTAAGATATGCTGGAAGATACTCCTTCACTCCAAAATCCCTTGGCTTAGAATTCGATAACAGATAAGGGCACTTTTGTTAGTCAAAATCGTTGAAGCTACCATGCAGCATGCATATCATTCAAATCCCTTTAATATGCCTGATTTAATGCATCCAAAACCTAATAAAATTACATTATATTCTTGAATTTGTGGTTCGTGTAAATGAGGCATTCCCAATGAAGTAAATATACAATGTTTAATGGATGGACAAATCAATATTTCACGTTTCTATACAATTTTAAAATTTTGTTCTCGGTTGCATTAAAGTCCACAATGTTTAATTAAATATATATCGAAAAAAAGTTTGTTTTACCCGTTATAGTCATTGAGTTCCAATGTCAACTTGGCATCCAATTATGGTTATGCTTAACCCCGTGAATGCCAACTAGGAATTCCTAATCATTCAACCATTCTTTAAACCATGTATTGTAGATGTTATTAAAAAACCTATTTTAGTAAAAATACTATTGGACTTGATTAGGGCCGTAAACGAACACGAACTGAGGCTTGTTCTTGTTCGTTTGTTTAACTTTAACCGAACAACAAACGAACACGAACAACTAAACGAACTAACTTTTTATGTTCGTGTCCGTTCATTTTCACTTGATCGTTTTCACTTTTCATGACAAATGGGGTATTGTTTTTTTGGTGCGTAAACTATAGAGTCATCGATCTAGCCTTATCTTACTGTTTAAACTATAATCATTTTATTATACAAAACCTAAAGATTAACATCATTAAAGAAGTGCTTTAAGAGGGGCCTCAGATGCACAACCAAATCAGTGGGTGAAATGTTAATAATTTGATGATTTTGGCAAGTAATTAAATTTTTTTTATGACAATCTTCTTCCTCACAATTAGTTTTAGATGAGTGATACAACCTAAACATGTATAAACTACAACATGAAAAAATCGTTTCAAGATCTAAAATAATGATTTGAAATAATATATCTTGTGCTCGGTGCTTATAATTATTTTATATGTTTTATCTATTCATGTTGCTAATATGGAGACGTGTCATACAGGTCCGTGGATTAAAATATCTTAAAATGCCCAGAACCACTTAGAAAAAAAAAGAGTTTATATATATATATATATATATATATATATATATATATATATATATATATATATATATATATATATATATATATATTAAGCTCCAAAAAAAAATCGGGCTGTCAGCTACCCAATTCATCCTCCCCCAATTTAAATTAAGAATCATAATTATATTACAATGAAAATGAACATGAACTACGATGTTGGTTCTTTAAACAATAAATCTAAGAGAAAGAAAATTACCAAAAAAGTCAGCGAGTGTTTTCCCATTGGAGAACCTTCCAGTTGGGTTCCCGTTGGTGAAGTCCATTCCGTACGGATGGAAATTAGCCTTGAAAATAGTTTTGATATGGTTATTGTTCCCTTGATCCATTAATGAGTCCCCAAATGCTATGACTGCTTGTACAGAAACATTTTGTGGTAGAGTTACCGCTCCTTCTTTGCAATTTAAGTAAAGAGAAGCATATAGAAAAAATAAAATAACCTTCATAACTTAAAGAATTGAAAATTAATAGAGAATATGATGCAAAACAAACACCAAAGAAACAAATTTAGGATTTTAACACCAATATTATGAATTTGGACTATGCAGCAATTACCGTTTTATAAAGAGAGGGCTAACGAACTTCCATTTCCTTCACGTGAAATGTTTGTTACGATAATATGTCCACATCCAAAAATGAAAAACCTACATGGTCAAAAGATTACATCTTGAATTGGGATGGGCCAAAAAAAGTTCGCAATAAAATATTGTTTAACTTTTGATTATGTATTTTTAGCAGATTAAAGGTTAGCTTTTGCGACGTTTTTGTTTCTTTGGCAAATGTCATGATCTTTTGTTGCTTGTTTAGAAACTCACACCTAGGTCACGTGGATGAAAGCACAAAAATTTACATGCCAAATCTTGCCTTGGTCTCGATCTTTTCTTCCCCTATTTAAAAAAACTGTAAAATCAACCAATATCAACAAAAATCTCATGAATAGAATCCAATTTTTATTTAAAAAAAAAACAAATTTATAATAGACATAAAATCCCTTCTATTTTAAGTTAACACTACTAGAAAACTAGGTGATTTCCTACGGAAATTAATGACGGAATTCCGACGGAATTGTGACAAACATAAAAACTCTAATTTTAGTGACGAAATACAGATAAAATAGCGACGAAAATGAATTCCGAGGGAAATCCGTCAGTAATTACCGACATAAATACTTTTTTTAGAAAAAAATCAACTTTTGTATTCTAAAACTAATTCAATTATTAATTTTTAGTATTATTAATTGTATTATTTTTAATTTTTACAAATAATATATATATATAGATATATATATATATATATATAATATATATATATATATATATATATATATAATTCAATTTTCTAATTATTATAGTATAAGTATTTATGTTATTAAATTTTGTAATTAAAATATTATAATTATTGACCAAATAGATTAACTTTATTTATTAGTAATATTAGTATAAAAATAGTTTAATTACCATTAATAATGATAGTAATTAAATAACTATTTACTTTTTTAATTAAAATACTATAACTGATGTTATTAATTACTATTTATGATAACTATTAGTATTGTAAATAATAATAATAATAAATAACTACAATTATGATAATATAACTAATAATAATAAGAAATTAATAAATTACCAACATATCTATTTTTTTTAAAACAAATAAACTAGTTCAATTATAAAAATAAATAAATCAAGATAAAAACTATGTTCCCGTAGGAACAGTTTTTGGTTTTGATTGGTTCAGATTTTTTTTTCTTTTTTCTTTTTTTACACTGTCCGTCTTGGCCACTTTCCAATTTCATATGATTTATTTTTTGACCGGTCAATGGGTTTCACCGACTTCTATTACACCTACAACGTGTCTTTCCACCACCTTTCCTTTCCAATGGGATGCTTACACAATTGCTTCCACCGTCTTCTCTCGGCTACTATCATAACAATCGGCGGGAAAAGTCCATTATCTCCCCGAAAAGAAGATTTCCATATCCCGCTTGATCATATACCCGATTCACCAATGGTGACACCGGCAAAGGGGATAATAACGATGGATGAGGAGGCGTATCTTGGAAACGGATCTCCGATGGTGGAACAGGAGGAGGAAGCGATGGCAAAATTTGAAGTGGGTGACAGATCGATTGGGAGAGTGACGAACACAAATCCATCAGAGTACATCAGGGGTGATATTCTCTGGAAAGCCCAACCCCCCACAAAAACGCTTTTCATTTCTCCCATGCCTCTTTTGCTGTGGTCTTCTGTCATCATCGAAAATCGATCGCGTTGCGGCCTCTGTGCCACCGCTATGAGCTCCATTCACAAAAATCCAGGATTTGTTGTTACCTACTTTAATCGATTAAGGGTTTGTTATGTTCAGTTGAATTTATTTCATTTATCCTCACCTCCGATCAGAAGTCGTCGCCTTCTGCTTTTCACCTGTATCCCTTATCTCTTCCTCTTTATTTTTACAAGTATATTTTCTGTAAGGCCCCGATTCTCAGGCATTAATTTATGGCTTTGATTCTTCATGATTTCAAGGTCTACTCGACGAGTTGGTTGCCCTGACTCGTCGAGTAGCAGCGGGTTGGTTCACGCGTTTTAGTGACCTAGTCGCCGAGTCCAAGAAGAGACTCGACGAGTAGCAGCTGGCAGATGAAACCCTAAATCTCGTGGTTTTGCACCCTATTTAAAGGATCATAAACCTCCTTTAGCCCTTTTGCAGTCCCTAGAGAGCCCAGAAGACCCCTTTTTCGTGTGAGAGCCTTTGTGTGTGTGTTTTGAGCTTTGGAGAGTGGATTTTGTGAAGAGAGCTTGAAGGTCAAGAAGCTTGCAGTAAGGGACTCGTGGGGATCTTCAGAACTTACCTCAGTTAGCTTCATTGGAGGTATCAATTTGTGATATTGGCCCCATTTTCTTTCTAGATCTCATTTCTGTGAAGTTTAGGGTTATTTTGGCTTGGTTATGAAATTATTGTTGTGTATGAGATGCACTTCAGATCTGGACTCCCTTTGGTCTGTAGATCCATAAAGGTAGCAGCTTTGGCAAGTATGAGCCTTCTCTCAAGTGTTGGACTTCATTTCAAGCTTAGTTTTGTCATTTTAGGGCCTTAAAGCTTTGCATGCACGTAAAGTTTTGCAAATTTACATGATAAGCAGGCCTTGGAAGGTTGGATATGCAATCTGGAGCCTTTGCATGGCTTAAAAAGCATCTGTATGGATGAAGGACTGAAGGGACTCGGCGAGTCAGATGAAGATTGTCGTAGACTCGGCGAGTCCGTAGAGTGACTCGGCGGGTCCGTTGAAGACTGCCCTGGACTCGGCGAGTTGGTAAAATTAGGCAAGAACTCGACGAGTCGTCGAGGGTGCTCGACGAGTTGAGGTTAACATGGACTGTTGACCTTGCCAGTTGACTTTGACTTTGACCAAGGGTTGACCAGTTGACTTCTGGGGGTATCTCGGGAATTTATGAACTTTGGGATGTGTTGGATATAGGTGGTGGAGTTGGTGGCGGTGATCCGGGAGTTGAGCTTTCTATTTCCAGTCGCAGTTGCGAGGTGAGTTATCCTCACTATGCTAATGGGTCTAAGGCACCAAGGCCGGCCCACTGGATATGTTATCCTAGCAGTGTTAGATGTTGAGTATGAGTTAGTGTTGCATGCTAGTGGTTATGCCAGTTAGGTAGATCTGTAGGACTACCTTTGTTGTTATATGAATATCTGCATGCTCAGTAGTTATGTTATATGTTGATATGTTATGTGGGATGGGTTGAGGTGATACTGCTCTGTGCGGTAACCAACAAACCCGGGAGCATTCCAGATACGGGCTAAGGGAGACTCGTACTGTGGGCTCGATGGCAGTCCAGATATGAGCTGTGTGCCCGATAGGCAATCTAGACTCACACTGTGGGCCCAGGGGTAATCCAGTCTGTAAAGCTGTGGACCCATTATATGCTGTTCAGTTTGTTATGTTCTGATGTTGCTGACATGGTTATGTGGACTGTGTGTGTATCGATATTTTGGGGGTATCTCACTAAGCTTGTGGGCTTACAGTTTCAGTTTATTGTTTCAGGTACGTCAGGGGATTGTGGCAAGGCAAAGGCGTGATCGTACAGCTCCTCACTTTTTATGACCTTGTTTCTGGGATAGTCTGATATGATACATTTTGAAAACAAGTTTTGTAATAATTAATGGAATTGTTATGTTAAAAAAAAAGTTTAACTTGGCTTGAATTTTTGGGTGTTACAAGTTGGTATCAGAGCCTTGGTTTGAGTGAATTGGAGGAACACTCGTGTGAATCCAGTCTCAAATCAAGGAAAGATTTTTAAAATGATTTTTTTTAAATGGTTTCCAAAATATGTAAAAGAGGATGTGAAGCGTACGATCAGCCGAAGCCAGTAAGTAGACCCCAAAATACCATACAAGTTATTTGATATTATGTGATATGTTAGAACATCATGCTAGTAATAAGATAGGGATCCTTAGAAATCGTATGATAGAAATTTTCTGATCCTTGATGCCTTATGTTATGTTTTGTACCTCAATTGATTATTTGTGACTCTTTCGCGTGTGAACTAACTATTGGGTGAATACTCTAAGTCACATGCGACATGGGTTAAATGGTCGTAGGGTAAGGGATTTGGTCCTGCTGCGCAGCTCTTGTCTGAGTCCAACCGTCGTGGGATTAAATCTTTTAGTCTAAGATTGTTTAAGCTGTGCGGTATGTGATTGTATTCATGCAATAGTTAACTGGCACCAATGGAGAGTCGTGTGGCAGTTGGTGGATGTGACGGTAGTAAGAGGTCGGGAGGCAAGTTATGAGATATTTAGCATTCCTCTAGGAGTGAGGATTTATCGCTCACTATGTATATGTATATTGAAGGGTGTTGTGGTGATACTTGAGACAAATATGGGTACGTGTGGAAGGTAGTATGTGTTGGATTAATGTCTAAGTCCATAACTATATTTGGTATGTACTTGACCCGACCCGACATGGTCCATTTGGGTTGTACTTCACCGGCACAATTTATATGGATAGTCTTTTGAGAATAGTATATTGATGATTTATATTAATATATTATAAGTTCTAATATATTAATATGGAATCATATTATTTAATTAGTATTGATCAAGAATTAATTTAGAATTAATTAAGTGATCAAAAAGAACTAATTAAATATGGACTCTTATATATATGGAATGGGCCAAGTTCATTTAGGTTGGGCTAAGCTTTCATGGATGGTCCATGGAGCTTTTAACCCATGGATCCTATGTAAATGAAAGGTCATGGGTATTAGGGTTTACATGGATGTAACCCTAATCCTCCATAATATATAAAGGGGTCCTTGGCTCACAAAATTGGCACAAGTGTGTGAAAATAAGAGTGGGCCGATTTTAGTGTGCATACATATTCTCTCAAGTTCTTCCAAGGTGTTTTGGTGATTTTGTGATTCCATTTGAGGCTTCCACACTATTGGGGCTAAGCTCTTAAAGCTTGAAGACATCAAGCTACATCAAAAAGGTATGTCATC